CCCTCCAACCCTCACAGAACCAGGACAGTCCAGTTGCTGCCTTCCGGCTCCCCCACACAGGGGCGGGGAGGACCCTTCACCCTGAGCTTCCCCTGGACCCTTCCCTGGGTCTCACTGAGGCTCTTGAAACAGTGGATCAAGGGGAGCTTTGGAACCCCACCAGCCTGGGCTCAGACACCATCCACTTTCTGTGTGACCCTGGGCAGGTGACTTCTCTCTGACTGATGGCTTGTGCAAGTCCTGAGTCCATCCCCAGTGGGCAGGGCTGTGGGCGGGATCATGTGAGGAAGTGCCAGAGGGGGTGTGCCCAGAGAGGTGCCCACTTCTCTGGCTGTGTGTGGGGAGGTCGGCGCAGCAGCCTGGACCCCCAGGAAAAGAGTCATTAATGGAGCCCTCAAGTTCAATGCCAGGAACCCTTCTAGGTGCAACAGTGGTGACCCTTCACCTTCTGAATGCTCTGAGGGTTGTTTATTTATTTAGGTTTATTTATTTATTTAGGTACCAGGGATTGAACTCAGGACACTTGCCCACTGAGCCACCTCCCCAGCCCTATTTATTTAGAGACAGTCTCACTGGATTGCTTAACACCTCCCTTTTGCTGAGGCTGGCTTTGAACTCACGATCCTCCTGTCTCAGCCTCCTGATCTAAGGTTTACTTATTTATTTTTTTAAAATTCTTATTTCATTTTTTATGGGGTGCTGAGAATCGTACCCAGTGCATGCTAGGCATGCTACCACTTGAGCTACGTCCCCAGCCCTTATTTATTTTTTAAATGTTTTTTTCTCTCTTCTTCCCCCTCTCCCTCCCTAACAAGATTAGGAGGCAGTGTTCCCTTTTCTTCCCCCAGTGAACTCCCCCAACACACCCACTACTGGAAGGAGATKCCTGCTGAGGATCTGGGCAGAGAATATCTCTCAAATTAACAAGTGAACCCTAACACAGCCATCAGGGTTCCCTGGCACCCCCTACTGGAATGTAATCCTTGAACAATTCCTTTAAAACCTCCCTGTCCCTCCTGATGGAGACAGTCACAGCCACTGGGACGGGAGTCCCCTGTGTTTCTCCTTTGCTGGCAAAGCAATAAATCTTTTTCTTTTTTCTCAAAACCGTGGCCTCATTATTAAATTGGCATTGATTGGCATTAGGGACAGGGACCCAGCTTTCGGTTACAAAGGCACTTGATCTATATCAGCCCATGGGATCCTTTAATTCAATAGCCATTCCCAGTAACCACAGGCCGCAGCAGTTCAGTGATTCTGTAGAAGGATGATACTGTGTTATCCATCCCACCTGGGCCTCGGAGTAGCTATGTGACTTGGCAGSGTCACACAACAAGGACAGGTGCCCCAAGGCAGCAGACTAGAAATCACGTGAGTTTTGAGCCAGACAGACGGATTCTGGATCCCATTGGTCCCTTCCCCATAAGACAAGGATGTCACCTCCTGAGCCGGGCTTCTTCTTGTTTCCAGGACAATGTGACGATGTGAGGCCACACAGGGCCATGCTCCGCCCACAGGCACAAGACCCCTTCCCCCTGAAGAAACCCAGGCTGCCACTGGGTCACTGCTGGGCTGGGCTGTGTGCCTTTCCCTGTGTCAGCCTGATGGTGAAGGACTTCTGCAAAGCCCCTGGTGACTGCAGAGCAGGGGGAGGTGCCCCGTCKCCTAGCTAAGGGCTCCCCAAGAACAGCACCGGCCCTGAGGTGAGACTCCTGAATCACCCACCATCGTCCCCSCAAATTGACTGGCTCCACTCCGGTAACACGTGTCTGTTATCAGCTCCAGGTTTTCTCTTTAACCTGCCCTCCCTCCCCCCCTTTTTCTCCACCGGGGGCTGAGCCCAGGGGCCCTCCACCCGGGAGCCGCAGCCCAGCCCTGTTTATCTTTATTTTGAGGCAGGTTCTCACTAAATTGCTGAGGCTGGCTTGGAACTTGCCATCCTCCTGCCTCAGGTTCCCAAATCGACGGGATTACAGGTTTGAGACTGCTGAATGGAAGTTTTGAATCATTGACCCCACGTGGAAAACTATCATTTGCCATAAAAAAGCAGTCACCAGGCAGGCAGGCAGGTGTGGGGGCGCAGGCCTGTAATCCCAGTGGCCAGGGGAGCCTGAGGCCGAGGATCAAAGCCAGCTTTTATTGAAAATAAAAAGGGCTGTGGATGAGTCTCAGTGGTTAAGCCACTGGGTTAAAATATCATTTGTTTAAATCTGTTGAGATAATAATATGTTGAACATATTAAAGTAAGTTTTTTAAAACTTTTTTTTTTTGAGATGCTGGGGGTTGAATCAAGGGCTTATTTTCTTTTTTAAAATATTTTTGTGTATTTTTTTTATAAGAGAGAGTGAGAGAGGGGAGAGAGAGAGAGAGAGAATTTTTTTTAATATTTATTTTTTAGTTCTCGGCGGACACAACATCTTTGTCTGTATGTGGTGCTGAGGATCGAACCCGGGCCGCACGCATGCCAGGCGAGCGCGCTACCGCTTGAGCCACATCCCCAGCCCCAATATTTATTTATTTTTATGTGGTGCTGAGGATCGAACTCAGTGCCTCACGCATGCCACGTGAGCACTTTACCACTGAGCTACAGCCTCAGCCCCTGAACCAGGGCTTATGTATGCCAGGCAAGTTCTCCACCACTGAGCTAGATCCCCAGCTTGAGCAGATTAGATTAAATAGATAGTTAAAATTTCTCTTTCCTTTCCTTCTCTCCCTCTGCAGTGTTGGGATGGACTCCAGGGCCTTATGCATGCCAGGCACCTGCTCTATCCCTGGGCTACATCCCTGGCCCCTAAAATAATTTGTTTCTTATTACTTATCTTCAATGTACCACTAAAAAAAAAATTAAAATTGCATAAGCAGTTTGGATTTTGCTTCTTTTAGGAAATCCTGGTGTAGAAAATTTGGATTTGACAGCTGTAGCTGAGACAGGCCCTCTTGGGGGCCGCCGTGCTCACGTGAGGTGATATTCCAGGGACCACAAATTCATGTGGAGTTGCAAAGATTCTGAAATTTCCCAGCACAGTGTGGGCAGTGACATCAGCTACCCCAGATTCAAATCTCAATACTGCCAAGCTGGGTAAGCCCCTGACCTTGTCTCCTCTGGTCTGTAGAACGGAGGTGATGGTAGTCCCCATTTCACAGCTCCTTAAGTGACTCACATTCCTGCCTCAGGCCCATTGCACTTGCTGTTGTATGTTTCCCTCTCACATCTTCGCACCACCCATCCCTGTTTTTCCTTAAAAACCTTAAACATTACTTTTCTGATGAGCCCTACTGAAAAGAGCAACTCTCAGTCATGATAGAGAATAAATCTATCCAATTTTATTTTTTTCTTTCATGTCAAGAAAAAAAAAATCCACCTAGTGGAGCTGGGGGTGTTGCTCAGTGGCAGAATGCTTGCCTAACACTCAAGAGACCCTAGATTCAATCCACGGCAGCACACACACACATACATTCTACTTTTAGAACTTTTTAAAAATGATCTTGGTTATTGATTTTATGTTTTTGATAGTGATTTGTCTCCCTATTGATTTATAAGATCTGTGAGGGTGGAGATGGTCACTATGGTCACCCCCAGGCCGCAGCATTTAGGACAGAGCCTAACATAGCACACAACAAAGTGAGTAATGTCCAAATGAACCAAGCTGGCTTCAGAGAAGTGCTTGCAGAAGTGCTTGCCTTCTCTGGCCTCTGAGGACTGGAATCTTCCCTCTGTCTGGGAGTTCTGGTGTAGAAAATAAGTTCACTCACTCCTCCCCAGCAGGGGAGCCCCGGGGTTAAATGATCCCAGAATCCCTGGTATGCCCAGAGAGCTCTGAGGCACAAATGAGCTGGTCTAGTCCCTGGGGTTGTGGAGCCAGGGAAACAAAACGACTCTGTCCTACCTCCTGTGCAACTTTGCCTGGAGGAAGTACTCTTTGATACAGGTGAGCTCAGGTATCAAGATCTAAAAGGAATTTCCAAGAAAGGCACTGGATCCCTGGGGCTCAGGGACTTTCCACCAACAGCTAAGGCCTGGGGGGCAAGCCCTGTTTCGGGTCCCTTCTCCTTGTGAGTCTCCATTGTTTCCACTCTATTTATTGAGCACCTACAATGTGCCACACACTGTTCTACACATTTTATGTGCATGAAGTTATTAGTCCTCAGGAAAACCCTATGAAGTGAGTTCTGAGTCCATTTTTTTTTTTTTTTTGCAGAAGGAAACTGATGCAGGGTTTTAAGTGGCTTTTCTTTGTGGCACGCTGGGTAGGAGCAGAGATGGCATGCACACTTAGGTGGTATGGCTCTAGGGCGCTTCCTCTAACCGCTGGGCTGGGTTGCCTGTATCTAATGTATGTTKCGAGGCTCAGCTGGCCTCAGACCTCCCCAGGACAGGCCACTGGTTGCTTTGAGCCCAGAGTCAGTCAGGGTGGGGGTGGGAATGGTTTGTAACAAGAGAAGCAAGCGGGAGCCCCCCCCCCTGTAATCCTAGATACTCAGGAGGCTGAGGCAGTAGGGTGGCAAGTGTAAGGGCACCCGGGCCACTTGGCCAAACTCTCTCAAAGGAAAAAGGCCGGGCACGCAGCTCCGCGGTGGAGGGTGTGCCTAGCGAGCATGGCGCCCTGGGTTCTATCCCAAGAACTGAGACAGGGGACGGGCCCGGGAGCGAGCGCGAGAGAGGCGCATCGGGCCCCAGTGACGACCTCGCGGCTGGCTCTTTTCTCTCTTCGCATCACCCCGGGAAGGCAGGATGATCTTGGAAACGGGGAGGAGGTCGCTGGGGAAAGCAAAACATTTCCCTAAGGTGATAGGTGTCTGCACCCCAAAACTCCACGATCGAAGAGAGTTGAGACCAGACACCCCGAGTGGGCCAGCCAAGGGAGAGGGACCCAGGAACAGTGGGACGACTGGAGGGAGGGGCCGGGGCGGAGCGCTGGGGCGGCGACCCGGGAGGCGGGGCGCGGGGGATGGTGCAATTCGGCGCCGGAGGGCATCAGACGCGGGCGGATTAGCCCAGGTTTACATCACCCGGCGGCCGGGGAGCGGGACGCGGCGCCGGCGCCCACCGCACACTCGCGGCGGGAGCAGCGGAGACTCCGCACGCGTCGTCTGCTAGTGGCTGGGGCGCGAGCTGGACCCGGGCCCCGAGATCGGCCGCAGCGGAGGGGGCTGCGTTCCCCCTGCGGGTGCCCTGGCGACCCTGAGCACCCGAGACGCCAGGACCCGCGCGGGGCTCCGGGACAAGGTACTCGGCAGGTGGCCGCCAGAAGGACCTGGCGGGCAGGAGGGGCGGCCAGGGCGGAGGTGGAGGGTGCGTACGGAGCCCCCCCGCGCCACGCACCCACTACGCCCCACTTTGGTCACACTCCGCCGTCGGGGGTCCCGCCGGGTCTCAGTGTTCCCCCGGGCAGGGCGTGGGGTCCGCGCGAGTAAGACCGAGTCCGACTGGCGCGACGGTGCCCACCGACAGGGCGTGGCAGCTGTGTCCCCTGTGTCCGGGACTGAGGTGACGGCTGTCACTTGGGAGAGGGTTGGGCGGCAGTCTGGGCGTGTTTAGGCGAGGGGCGTGTGTGCGGGACCTGTAGGGGGCCCTGGGGGACCGTGGAGGGTCTGGGTGGATATTAGTGGGATGTCGGGGCTCGGCGTGAGCCTGCAGGGGTCTCGGTGAGGGTCTCGGGGCTTCGGGTTGTGTTGCCAGTGGGACCTTGGGGAGGGTTGGCTGTGCCGAGGACGCCGTCGGGCAGCCGGGGAGCTGGCAGTGGACGGGAGCGGGTGCAGAGAGCGCAGGAGGGGASGCGCGGGCTGCCCTGGGCACGTGCGCCTGAGCCGCTGCGACCGCGTGGGCGGCACGTGCGGACTCGGGTGTGGGGCGAARGCCCAGGTCCCCCGGGGCCGCATCCCTGGGGCCCACACTCCCTCCCTTTGCCTCATCCTTTCCCTGTCACCGACCTGCCCTCAATTTCCGCGGAGCCTTTTGATCCCAAACATCGCCTCCTGCASCTTCCGCTCCCAAGGGCGGGGCCTGGCTGGGACATCTGCGCAGGGTGAGGTCGCAGACTGCCCTAGGGCTGTGTGTACTTGCTTGCCCCCTTCCATGTGGAAGGCCAGGATTCTGTGTGTCTGTGCCTGGCTGGCTTGGGAGAAGGGGATGTGTGCGTGATTGAACTCCAAGGCCTCCGAGCCACACGCATCCCTTTTTATTTGGTGACAGGGTCTAGAAAACTTTAGGGCCTTGTTCAGTTGCTGAGGCTGCCTGTGAACTCTCCATCCTCCCGCCTCAGCCTCTGGAGCCACTGGGATTCCAGGCGTGCCCCGGCTGCCTTACTGGGAGACATGTGTCTGAGGGGTGTGAGCACCTGTGGACCCTGGGGGGTGTGGTGGGTATTTGGTGTGACCTGCCCTCCATCTCCCTGACCAGTTGTGGCAGGGAACCCCAAGACGTAGGAGGGACCTCCCTTCTGCAGGGGAGGCTAGGGTCCTGCAGTGTGGCCTGCACACTTCTTGCTCATTTGTGGACTTGGATAACCCATCTGTCCAGCACAGCTTGGCTTGACCCACCCAGCTCTGAGGTGGGGAGGATGCAGGGGTCCACTAAGGTGGCCTGAGGATACTGTATGCCCACCACCAGAGCCACTCCCGGCCAACAGGGAACCCAGCATTTGAACAGCCAGGCATCTTCTTATTTGACAGAACAGTCTTGTGACGTAAGGAGAGTCACCCTGGCCTCATCGCTGGGGAGATCTCTTAAGATCCCCGTGGGTGACACTTAAAACATTCAGCCATGAGTAATAATAATAGTGATGCAACTATAGTAGTGACCATTTTAACATCTATGTCGCAACAGTTGCATGCTACTGTGGACCTTCCTTCTTTCCTTCCTTCCTTCCTTCCTTCCTCCCTCCCTCCCTCCCTCCCTCCCTTCCTTCCTTCCCCTTGAACTTGGATCCTTGTGCCTTAGCCTCTGAGTAGCTGGGATTGCAGCCACAGGGCTCAGCTATATTTTTTTCTTTTTATTTCACCCTTGCAATAACCCTTTGAGCTTTTCTTCTCCTTCCCATAATACAGGAACTGAGGCACAGAAAGGTTGAGGAATTACCCAGGGCTACCCAGCCAGAAAAGGCCTGAGCCAGAATTAGAACCTAGGAATGTCTGACTACACCTTACCCCCATGTACATTTATTGCCTACTTAAACACTTTTTTTTTAATTTTTATTTTTTTAATGAGATGCCCAGGGGGGTCAAACCTAGGGCCTCATGCACTTTGGGCGAGGGCTTTACCTCTGAGCTGTGTTCGGGTCCCTTGTACATTACATTCTAGCAAGTCAGGATGGTGGCCTTTCACTTGACAAGGGGGCTCCTCCCCTCCTGAGGCTGCCCTTGCATTTGGGAGCCACATGAAGAGGAGAGCCTGTCTGATGCTCCCTGCGGGTGCCACTTTGACTGTTGGGAGGTCCTTACGGGGCTGAGGTGTCTCCCTCTCTAACCCTCACGCCCCCTCGGCCTGGAACCTGAGTGTGTGACACTGGAGAAACTGTCCCTCCTCCACCTGCCATTGCCCATCCTCCACCAACACGCATTGTCACACTGCTGCCCTCCATCCAGAAGCTGCATCTGCCTGTGGCCSCGTCTGGTGGACATGTGTCCAGCGATGCCAGGAGCTCTGGGGCCATCAGGGAAGAGGACCCGCAACTCCCCCCAGGGAGAGAAAGAACGACATGGTTTTGAAACACAAGCAATAAGTGATGCAGAATCTTCATTTAAAAATATGGAGCCGGTGTGGTAGCGCATGCCTGGAACCCCAGCAACTCGGATCCCAAATTCAAGGCCAGCCTCGGCAACTAAGTGAGGCCCTGTCTCAAAATAAAAGATAACCTAACATAAAATAAAATAAAAATGTTGAAATTGAAAGTTCCCTTGACTTTCTACCAAAACTGCTTTCCCTCTAGGCCATGCAGTTAGGTGGCAGGAGTTACCGTGGCCAGTGGGCACATAATCGTTTCCCGTGTGCATGTAAATGTGAACGTATTTTGTCTTAAATGCTGGTGGTATTTTTTTTTTTTTAACCTAAATAGGATCATCTCCGGGCACTGTTCTGCAGCTGACTTTGTTCACATAGGTTCACTGTAGAGCATGCGTCCACATGTTCATTCACTGTCCTCCCTCCCTTCGGTCGTAGATAATAGATGCTTATGAGATTTGAGGAACAGAACCCTGCGGTCTCTACCTCCCTCTCCCCAGCTGCCAATTCCATCTCTCAACTCAGCTTTTTTTTTTTAAAAAACTTCCTCTTTGTGTGGGGGTGGGTTGCTAGAGATTGAATCCAGGGTGGTTTACCATTGAGCTACATCCCWTCCCCTTTTTAATTTTTTGAGACAGGGTCTCCCTAAGTTATTGAGGTTGGCCTCAAACTTGTGATCCTCCTGCCTCAGCCTCCTGAGTCACTGGGATTGTGGGTGTGCACTGCTGCACCCAGTTACTGTACTTTTTTTTTTTTTGGCACTAGGGATTGAACCCGGGGTGCTTTACCAKTGTGCTACATCCCCAGTCCTTTGTATTTTTCATTTTGAGATAGGGTCTTGCTAARTTGTTGAGGCTGGCCTTGAACTTGGGATCCTTCTGCCTCAGCCTCCCCAGTTGCTGGAATTACAGGTGTGTGCCCCTATGCTGTTTTTATATATTATTTTTTAAGAGCACTGTATATATACAATTCTSTGTATTTTTTCCCTCTTAATATATGATCAATAAACATCAGCCTGTTAAGTGTCTGTTGGTTCTTCTTCAGAGTTATATAGTATTCTACCACGMGGCTGTCCTGGCCTGTGTTAGCCGTCCACTACAGCAATTTGGGAATATTTGTATCTTTTGCTACTAGACACAGGCTCTGATGGACAGCCTTTCATATATTTAATGTTTTGGTGGCAGTGTAACTGGAGGATAAACTCCCAGAAGGGGGCCCCCAGGCAAAGGTGCCTGCTATTGTGATTTTAATGCGCCCTGCCCCCCAGCGGGGGAAGAAGGGCCCCCCAGCACCTCTCCCCTGCTCTCCTCCCTTCTTTCTAGATGCCAGCTGCTCCCCTGGCTGATCCCGCAGGCTCCCACTCCAGGAAGAATCCACTGGAGCTGAAAGATGACCCAGACGCGGAGTGTCCCATCCCGAAGCGAGCTCGAAGCGGGTCCCAGCCCAGGCCACCGCCCTGCCTGCTGCCCCCGAGCCCACCCCCTGCTCCGGACCGAGCTCCCACGGTGGCTCCTGCCTCCAGGCTTGGGCCATATGTCCTCCTGCAGCCCGAGGAGGACGGGCGAACCTACCGGGCCCTGCACTGCCCCACGGGCACTGAGCACACCTGCAAGGTATGTTGGGGGCCTTGGGAGGCTCCTCGCCAGAGTGCGGAGGCCCCAGAACACCTTCATTCCCAGGTTCTTTTTGGAGGCAGCCAGTGAGTCCCTAGGGATTAGCTGTGTGCCTTTTTTTTGGGGGGGGGTACCAGGGATTGAACTCAGGGGCACTCGACCACTGAGCCACATCCCCAGCCCTRTTTTGTATTTTATTTAGAGACAGGGTCTCACTGAGTTGCTTAGGGTCTCTCTAAGTTGCTGAGGCTGGATTTGAACTCGAGATCATCCTGTATTAGCTTCCCGGGCCGCTGGGATGAAGGTGTGCACCACCAAGCCCAGTTTAGCTGTGTGGCTTCTAACAAGTCACTTCCTTTTTCTGAAGCTCTATTTTACCTTCCATAAAATTGAACACAGCTTTCAGATATATGTTTAATGCCCATAAACTCCTAAAACATTTCCCAACAGCCTGGCCACTCTCACCACTTGCCCGCCACCCTTTCCAGCCACACTGACTGTGGCTGAGTTTCTAGAGCCCGTCTGCTCTTGACTGCCTCAGGGCCTTTGCATTGCCAGTGCCCCCACTTGGGAAGCTTCTCCCAAGGGAATCTTTAAATCCTTCAGGTGACCAGAGTTCCTTCTGGGTCATGCTGTCTAAAATGGGCCAGCTTCCAAAGTACTGTTTCTTCTAGGATCTTTCTGGGCTGGAAGCACTCAGCAGTACTTGGGATTGCCGACTTTTTTGCACTGTCTGCTTCCTGTGTTGGACTGCAGGCATCAGGAGAGTAAGGGACGTGGCTGTGAGTCATTTGGCTCCCCAGTGGCTGGCCCAGATACAAACTGATTGGCTGAGTGAAAGGGTGCCAGGAGTGGCTCTGAGGATGAGGAGCATAAACTGTCCTTTGCTCTTCTGGCTTTCTCCTGCTCTAAGGCTTTTCTGGTTAGTTTTTTTTTTTTTTAATTTTTTTTATTTTTATATGTTGGCACTGGGGACTGAACCCAGGGGTACTTTACCACTGAGCTACWTTCCCAGTCCTTTTTATTTTTTAAGACAGGGTGTCACTAAATTGTTCAGGGCTTCCTTTAGTTGYGGAGACTGGCCTTGAACTTGTGATCCTGCTGCCTCAGCCTCCCAACTCACTGGGATTACAGACGTGCACAGCTGCACCCAGCTGGCTCCCCTGTTAATTTTCAATTTTCTGAAGTTGAAGACCAKACAGGGTGGCAATTAAGGGCAGATGAAGGAGCCCATAAGTTTAAGACCCGGCTGGGCGGGGGCCTCGGGTTCCTTAACTGTAAAGGGGAGATGTGTGTGGGGGTGACCCTTCTTATGGGGCTTTTGWGGGCGTTGAGGGACTTGGAAAGTGGTCACGGTGGACGCACAGGAGTGTCTAAGGGTTGGCGGGCCTGTTCACAAGGCCACCCTGCCCTTCGGGGACCCGCCTGCAGGTGTACCCGGCCTGTGACTCCCGCGCCGTGTTGGAGCCCTACGCGCGGCTGCCCCGCCACGAGCACGTGGCMCGGCCCACCGAGGTCCTGGTGGGCACCCAGCACCTCTACGTCTTTTTCACTCGGACCCACGGGGACATGCACAGCCTGGTTCGCAGCCGCCGCCGAGTCCCTGAGCCTGAAGCCGCTGCGCTGTTCCGTCAGATGGCCGCCGCCGTGGCGCACTGCCACCAGCAGGGGCTGGTCCTGCGGGATCTCAAACTGCGACGCTTCGTCTTCACCAACCGTGAGAGGTGAGTGCGGCTGAGGAGTCCCCGAGACAGACCTAAGAGGTGGCCCCTGCTGCAGGAAATGAGGCCCAGGCTGGCGCGGGGGCACACCCTTGGGATCGGAGGCTGAGGCCAGAGGATCTTAAGTCTTAAGCCAGCCTCAGCCACGCGGAGGCGCTAAGCGACTCAGTAAGACCCTGTCTCTGAATAAACTACAAAATAGGGCTGGGGATGGGGCTCAGGGGTGGAGTGCCCCCAAATTCAATCCACGGTACCCAACCCCCACCACCGAAAGAAAGAAAGAAAGAAAGAAAGGAAGGAAGGAAGAAAGAAACCAAGATCTAGAAGGCAGAGTAACTTAAGCAAGAAGTGGAGAAACTCAGAGCTGGCGGCATAATTTGGTACAACATGCACGTATTTGGTTAGCATGTGCGAGGCCCTGGGGCTTATTTTATTTTATTTTATTTTTTGGTACCAGGGATTGAACTCAGGGATGCTTAACCAGTGAGCCAYATCCCCAGACCTTTTTTAATTTTTTTAATTTTGAGACAGGGTCTGGCTAAATTGCTTAGGACCCACTAAGTTGGTGACTTTGACCTCCTGCCTGTAATCCCAGAGTCGCTTCTACATTCCCCCGGCTTCCTTCCACATTTTGTATCAGAGCAGCATGCCTTTGAGTAAAAGTTGAATGTAAAATTATCTTGATTTTAAACTGGTACGTAACTTGGTCAGCGCAGCGACCCCAGACCTTCTGGAGGAAAGTGCTCCTTCTCTTTTGAAGGCAGTAGTTCAAGAATAGCTAACAGCTGGCTGCGGTGGCGCACACCTGTCATTCCAGCTACTCGAGAGTCTGAGGCAAGAGGATTGCAAGCCTCATCCRTTTAGCAGGGCCCTCTCTCAGAATAAAATAATAATAACAGTGGCAGAGTGCCCCTGGATCCAATTTCAATGCCCAGTACTTCAAAAAAGAGAAAAAGGAAAAGAAAAAAGAAAAAAAATAGTTAGCAGAAGAGGGTCTGTGGATCCAGAGAGACGATTCTGCCTTTTCACCTGCTTTTGTTTGGACGGGAGTATTGCCTTCACTTGCACAAGCCTTTCTTTCTTTATCTATAAAATGGGCCAATAATGCTGACCCTGCCCCACCCCCAGGCTGCAATCATAGGATGTCAGCTGTGAACTGTCTAGAGGCCACCAGGAAGTAGGCCATAAGGAAGATGAGTTGCAGTGGTCATTGAATAATTGTTATTGAATAATTGTTATCGGGGGCTGGGCGTGTGGCTCAGTGGTAAAGTGCTTGCCCAGCACATGTGAGGACCTGGGTTCGATCCTCAGCACCACATAAAAATAAAGGTATTGTGTTCAACTAAGCTAAAAAAACACAAAGCCATTTCGAGTGCCCTGTAGGAGCTGTTTAAATAGAAATTTCGGGGCGGAGGATGGTTCCGTGGTAGAGAGCCTGGGGAACATCAGCACTGCCTCGGGTTCAATCCTCAGCACTGCCCAAACCAAAATAAAGTACAAGCTGCAAATGGCGGGCCAACATTTTATTTAAACACTGGACTTTTCATTAAAATATGATTTCTGGGGCGGGGGAGGTGGCTCAGTGAGGAGCGCTTGCCCAGCATGCAGGAGGCCTGGGTTTGATTGCTAGTGTTGCCCATGCCCTTGCCAAAAAGATTCCTGGCTGCTTTGGGGGGAAAATGGGAATAACATGAGGGGTTGGAAGCCTGGATCCTAGTGGGGGTGAGCCAGAGCTCCCATCCCAGCCCGTAGCCTGGAGCTCCGACACGGTGTCTTCTTTATAGATTGTAGCCACAGTGAAATGAGCTGAGCCAGGAAATGGCTTAACCCAGGGCCAGCGCACATGGACACTGCAGGCTAGCGTAACTTGGTCATTCCCCTTGGAGGCAGGACCTTGCTGAGATGTTCCATGCACTTCCAGTTTCTTCTCTCTCTCTCTCTCTCTCTCTCTCTCTCTCTCTCTCTCAGTACTGGGGATTGAACTCAGGTGCCCTTTACCACTGAACTACACCCCAGACCCTTTTTTGGGGGGGGGTTACTGGGGATTGAACTCAAGGGCACTCGACCACTGAGCCACGCCCCATCCCTATTTTGCATTTTATTTAGAGACAGAGTCTCACTGAGTTACTTAGGGTCTCACTAAGTTGTTGAGGCTGGATTTGAACTTGTGATCCTCCTGTATTAGCCTCCCGAGCCACTGGGATGACAGATGGCGCCACCTCACCAGGTTTACCACCAGCCTTTTTATTTATTTGGAGACAGGGTCTCACTCGGTGGCCCAGGCTGGCCTTGAACTGGCGACCCTTTTCCCTCAGCCTCACTATCATGGGATTGCACCCGGTTGGAATCTTATCTAAATGCAACTGCTCCGTGACCCGGAGAAACGCAGGAGCCTGGGCTTCCCACCTGTGAGATGAGATGAACTGTCCCCCCTCCCAGAACGGGCTCTGTCCAACGCCGTCAGATCCCAGGGAAGGCGGTGCCCCTGAAGGCGACACTGTGGCTGGTGGCCTGGGGGGTCCAGGGGGCTCTAACCCCTCTGTCTCCGCCCCAGGACGAGGCTGGTGCTGGAGAACCTGGAGGACGCCTGCGTCCTGACGGGCCCCGACGACTCCCTGTGGGACAAGCACGCGTGCCCGGCCTACGTGGGGCCCGAGATCCTGAGCTCGCGGGCCTCCTACTCGGGCAGGGCGGCCGACGTCTGGAGCCTGGGCGTGGCGCTCTTCACCATGCTGGCCGGCCACTACCCCTTCCAGGACACCGAGCCTGCTCTGCTCTTTGGCAAGATCCGCCGCGGGGCCTTTGCCCTGCCCCGGGGCCTCTCCGCGCCCGCCCGCTGCCTGGTGCGCTGCCTGCTCCGCCGGGAGCCCGCTGAGCGGCTCACGGCCCCGGGCATCCTGCTGCACCCCTGGCTCCGCGGGGACCCCGTCGCCTCAGCCCCGTTCCGCACCCGTCTCTGGGAAGCTGACCAGGTGGTTCCCGATGGGCCGGGGCTGGAGGAGGCTGAGGAGGAGCTGGGCGAAGGGGAGGTGGGTCTGTACGGCTAGGGCCACCGTCCTGGGCTGCCAGCTGCAGACAGTGGATTGAGTTTGGGGGACATCTCCAAACTTTTTCCAACYTCTTGGGACTGAGCCAACCCTTAAGTGCCTTCTAGGAGGGAGAAAGGAGGAGGCACGGGCAGGTGTGCTATAGGCCCATGTCCTGCTTGGATGCTCCCTGTTTCCAAGCCCGGTTGATGGTGCTGGGCACTGAACAAAGGGGACACACCTCCTTGCTTGCAGAGCTGACATGCTGGCATAGGTAGGTCAGTGTCTGCCTGGCACACTTAGTACCAGGGTCAGCCTCCACTTGTACTGGTGCCAGGTCCTCTGTCCCGAAGACAGTCCCTTTTCCAAACAGCCCAGCTACCTTTGTATCTTCCACCTTTCAAGGAAAGGGACACATCTCCATGCCAAAGGTCCCAGCCTTTGTCCTCAGAACGGCAGAGCCCAGGCCCTGCTGGAAATGGTGCTCTAGCTGGTTTGCGCTCCTGATCAAGGCGTTCTCCTTAAGGGGCGCGTGGCTCGCTCTGTAATCCCAGCAACTCTGGWGGCTGAGGCAGGAGGATCGCAAGTTTGAGTCCAACCAGGGTAACTGAATGAGACTCTATCTGAAAATAAAATTTGAAAATGGCTGGGGATGGAGCTCAGTGGTAGAGAATCCCTGGGTTCAGTCTCCAGTTCTATAGGAGAAACAAACAAACAAACACTCTCCTTCCAGGCCTAGGTCAAAGATTTGGGCCCAAAGGACACAAGAATCCCACTCTGAGGCTGGTTCTCATTGGACTCAAGGAATGCTTGGGAATGGGGTTCCAAGTCTGCTGTCCCCTTAGCCCCTGAGGATCTTTGGGGGTCAGGACTATACAGGGTTTGTGTCATGGCCATTTGGAAAGCCTCAGGCCTGTTCTGGGCATACTCAGGGTTCAGGACTGGGTCGATACCATGGATTTGGAACTATGAGTAGCTGTTCTCACCTTGTGCCTAATTAAAAAAAAAAAACTGTGAAATCATTTTATTTCTCTGGGAGATTTCTTGTACCCTCACAACCTTCTCTTGCCAGCTCTCCCTGCCTTTAAAACTGTCCTCCACGTGAAAGGCCAGACACGCGGTTGGCGAGGACACACTCCCCGAAGCCCAGTGGGTTTGACTGAACACTCTCTGGTTTCTGAGTCCAATAGCATAAACACCAGCTGGGGGTGTAGCTCTGGTAGAGGTGGATGTGCCTCGCACACTCAAGGCCCCCACTTTGATCCTCAACATGGAAAGAAAAAAAAAAAGCTTAAAAAGAAAGAAATATATTTCACCCAAAGCAAGATGCCAGTGAGTGAGGTCGGCTGGGTTGAGTCGGTTCTCAGAGCTGTTGGCAAGGATGCTGCTCTCCAGTTCCTTCTGTCCTTCGCCCAGTTGTCGCCCAAAAGAGCTGGCACAGTGACTGTGGCAGTCATGTGCCACATTAGAGGAAGAAGGGGGGTGGCCTTGCAGCACTTGAGGACTCTATTCTGGAGTCAGGCTGCCCAGGGTTAAGTCCTGGCTCACTAGCAACAAGAGGACAGGTACCAGTGAGCAGGCTTTGCTTCCGTCACTGTGGCACATGTCCATCGGCCAACCCCTGTCATTCAGATTCTCTCTGAATGGGAGGAACTGAAAACGTGTGGCCTTTTAAAATAGATATATGGAAGGGCTGGGGCTCAGCAGTAGAGCGCTCGCCTAGCCTGGGTGGGGTCCTGGGTTCCATCCTCAGCACCTCATATAAATGAATGAAATAAAGGTATTGTGTCCA